AAGCTACACTTCAACCAACTCGACAGATAGAAAGATCGACATTCATTTTCAGATTCGACATTTCCAATATAAATTCTGTCTCGCTTGAGACAGTCTCATTTAATGCAGATGATTATCTCACTTGAGATTGCTTTTTTAAAACAGACTTTGTCTCACTTGGGACTGTTTTACTCGAAAGAAGATTTATTTCACTCATGATTGTTTTTCTTAAAACAAGATTTGTCTCGCTTGAGACCGTTTTCACTAGAAGAGTTTTGTCCCTCTTGAGACAGTTTCCCTTAAAACAAATTTTATCTCCCTTGAGACAGTTTCTCTTGAAACATAAACATTGAAAACATTTCCCTTGAAATAAATTTTCGTCTCTCTTGAGATAATTTCCCTTGAAACAAAATTTTGTCTCTCTTGAGACAGTTTCACTTGAAATAAATTTTGTCTCTCTTGAGACATTTTCCCTTGAAATAAATTTTGTCTCTCTTGAGACAGTTTCCCTTGAAACAAAATATTTAAATATGTTTTCTTTGAAACAAATTTCGTCCCCTTGAGACAGTTTCTTTTGGAACTAAGTTTGTCTCTCTTGAGACAGTTTCTCTTGAAACAAATTTTGTCTCCCTTGAGACAGTTACTCTTGAAACACAAAATCTTCAAATTTATTTCCCTTAAGACATAATTTTGTTTCCCTTGAGACCGTTTCTCATGAAACAACAGATATCTTTGAGATCGTTTCCCTTGAAACAAATTCTATCTCTTTCAAGACAACTTCTTTTGAAGCATCATCTGAACCGTTACACTCAGCTCAGGCACATACTTGAGATGGTCGAGAAGCATTTCTCAAATCAAAAATAGAATGTGCACATCAGATTTGAACATTTGAAGAATTCAAGATCAGGGATCAAAATTTGAAGATTCAAGAATCAAGATTCCAGACAGGCAACTGGAGATCGAGATTTCTCTCCAGAGCCCCAAGATAACATATGTTGCATATACATTTTAGGCACACCTAAGAGCATTGCATACATAGCATCACATATATGCATAACTTTTTCAGGTTTTAGCTAGAGTCAATTTCAACTTCGCGGCGAAGGATATTGAACTCAAAGCGACACAATTTGCTCGAGAGTGGATTTCAACTTCACGATGAAGGATATCTAGCTCGAAGCCAAACTTCACAATAAAGGGGTCTCCACAGTTTCAACTTCACGGCGAAGGGAATTGTGTCCACCCGCAACATAAAATACTTGGATTTCAACTTAACGACAAAGGATATTCAAGTCAAGGTTTAACTTCACAACTAAGGGGCCATCCGTGATTTCAACTCCACGACGGAGGATATTGTGGCACTCGAGACAACGCAAGTTCAACTTCACAACGAAGGGACGGCTGGTTGTCAACAAACAACTTCTCAATTTCAGAGCCAATTTCAACTTCACAACGAAGGATATTGGACTCCAGACAACGCAAGTTCAACTTCACGACGAATGGACCGCTGCTTGTCAACAATAACTTCTCAATTTCAGAGCCAATTTCAACTTCACAACGAAGGATATTGGACTTCAGACAACGCAAGTTTAACTTCACTACGAAGGGACCGCTGCTTGTCAACAACAACTTCCCAATCTCAGAGCCAATTTCAACTTCACAACGAAGGATATTGGACTCCAGACAATGTAAGTTCAACTTCACGACGAAGGGACCGCTGCTTGTCAACAACAACTTCCCAATCTCAGAGCCAATTTCAACTTCACAGCGAAGGATATTGGACCCAAGACAGCACAAGCTCAACTTCACAGCGAAGGGGCGCCTGACTGTCGACAAGCAATTTCGGAGCCAATCTCAACTTCACAGCGAAGGATATTGGACTCGAGATAACACAAGTTCAACTTCACAGCGAAGGGACGGCTGGTTGTCAACAAACAATTTCCCAGTTTCAGGGCCAATTTCAACTTCACAGCGAAGGATATTGGACCCAAGACATCACAAGCTCAACTTCACAGCGAAGGGGCGGCTGACTGTCGACAAGCAATTTCGGAGCCAATCTCAACTTCACAGCGAAGGATATTGGACTCGAGACAACACAAGTTCAACTTCACAGCGAAGGGACGGCTGGTTGTCAACAAACAATTTCCCAATTCCAGAGCCGATTTCAACTCCACGACGGAGGATATCGTGCTACCCGAGACAACACAAGTTCAACTTCACAACGAAGGGACGGCTGGTTGTCAACGAACAACTTTTCAGTTTCATCCGCGATTTCAACTCCACGACGGAGGATATCGTGTTACTCGAGACAACACAAGTTCAACTTCACAACGAAGGGACGGCTGGTTGTCAACAAACATTTTTCAAATTTCAGAGCCAATTTCAACTTCGTAGCGAAGGATATTGGACTCGAGACAACACAAGTTCAACTTCACAACGAAGGGACGGCTGATTGTCAACAAGATTTCGTTCAGAGTCAATTTCATATTCACAGCGAAGGATATTAGACTCGAGACAGCACAAGCTCAACTTTACAGCAAAGGGGCGACTGACTGTCAACAAACAATTTCCCAGTTCCAGAACCAATTTCAACTTCATAGCGGAGGATATTGGACTCGGAACAATATTTGGATTTCAACTTCATGGCGAAGGATATCCAATTCTCAGGCTCAACTTCACGACGAAGGGGCCCTGTACGATTCCAATTTCACAAACAGATTGACCCAACTTCACGACGAATGAGTCATCTGTAACGCATCAACACCGAAGTCTTCAGGTCAAGTTTCACCTTCACGACGAAGTATCTTGATCCAGAAGACGATTCAAAGGCCACTCGCCAAAAGCTTTGAGTTCGATTCCAACTTCACGACGAATGATATAGTGCTCAGAAGCTTCCAGATGAACTCGACTTCACGACGAAGGAGTCATCCGTAACTCAATTCGACAGGGAGTTATTGAAACATCAGAGTCAATTTTCAACTCCACCGAACGAAAAGTGTGTCTTTCAATCTTTGCCCTATCCCCGTTACACGACTATGGGCAAAGAGGGGCAGCTGTCAACACACCTTTTTCGTCCTACTAGGATTCAAACTCTCAAAAATAGGATAGAATTCTGCTAGGATTCAACTCCTAAAATAGGATAGAATTTTGCTATGTTTTAAACTCCTAAAGATATGATCCACAAGCACTATAAATAGCCATTGTAGCTCACTATTGTAACACACGATTGACAGAGGATTTACACACAAAACACATAGGAAAGCACGGAAAATACAAAGGCAAAGTTGTTGTAAACGATTCGAAAAGGAAATAAAAGGTAGCATCTTTTTTACATTGGTTCGTTCATTTCTCGCATGTGCACGTTATTTTTTTGAGATTTGGTTCGAATAACCCAAAACGTGGGTTGCGCCGATGACTAAAAAAGGGTGGGATTTCGAAGTTTCGAACCTAGATCCACCCCCGAGGCGTGTTCATTTTTTAAAATATTTAATTCTCCCCCTAAATCATTTTTTTCCTACTTTATTATTCTTGTTATATATGCATATTACTTTCTATTAATTTTATTATATATGTATATATGTTTTTTTATTAGTGTTATTATATATATATTTATATATTTCCTATTTTGCATGTATATATTACTTTTGATTTTCTTTTTTTTATTATTATTATTTTACTTATATATATATATGCTTTTACTTTTTTATATAATTTACTCATTTATTTATCTATTTTTATATTTATCCTATATTTATGTTTTATATTCTTTTACTTGTTTTATTTATTTATTTGCATTATCATTTTATTTTTATTTAGTTGTTTGTTGTGCATATATTAGTGTTATTGTTTTTATTTATATTTATATCTATTCATTTTATATTTACTTTATTTCTTACTTAATCTCCTTATTTTATTTGTTTTACTTTATTTATCATTTATTCATCTCTTCTAACCCATATTTTGACTTTTAAAGGGTATATTTGTAAATCCGTCAAAGGTAAGTAATTTTGGATCATTATTTTATCTTTTAATTTAACTTGTTATTTTTCTTAATTAAGACAACTGGAAATTACGTAGTACTGAAAGGGCGGTTCAAGGGTGCTAATCCTTCCTTGACCGTAACCGACTCCCGAGCCCGACATATTTCTGGTAAGACGCAGATCAGATAAGAAATAGGGTATCTGATCAACCCATTTATCTTTAAATAAATGATCGGTGGCGACTCCAATCCACATTTTTCAAGTCGAAGCCCAATTCCGGGACCCAACCGAAAGACGGTTGCGACAGACATGATTTTCAAAAAATTAAAAATTTAAATACTAAAACATGCTAAAATTAATAACTTAAATACTAAACACATAGTTTACCTAATTTTTATTTCTCGGCTCATAGGTTTTGTTTGATTCTGGTACCTCAAAGACTTGACGTTAACGGTTTGTATTGTTGTGTAATCCATCGTTAGTGTGGACAATACTAAATGTGTTTTAAAATATTTGTAAAATTTTAAAAAATAAATAATGAGTTATTCAATATTATAATATTATTTGCAAAATTAAATTTTATTGATAATTTATAAAAAATAACACTCATAATTTTATTAGTATATTTTAATAAGTTAAATAAAAATATTAATTATATAAACTTATAAATAAGGCCACAAACCAATATTATAGTAGATTACAGTAATGACCGAGGTCCTACATAATTTGACTTGGGGGCAATCAAAGAACCACCCACTCAGGGATGGCGCTATGCACGTGGTTGGAGTAGGGAGGGCAACGGATCAGTCATAGTCCGCGCACACACTCGGTTTGCTGCTGAGCAGAGTATCGAGGCATACGGCGGCCCACACGTTGTTAGCGACCGAAGGCTATTTTCGTCGCCAAAATTCTTATACACTATTTTTCAGATTTTTCAGTGGCACTAGTGTAATTCAACAGATTCCTGAGGGCTTTTATTGGTAAGCCAATCTAACTTGTGACCATATATAAAACAATTCAAGTTCCCCATCAATTTACCAAAAACCAGAAGTAAAACAACGGGAAGGCGTCTGATTGTAGGTGAAGAAGAATAAAAAGAAACCTAAAAGCTGTTGATAGTTGACTAAGGTATGCTAACGCCTTCTCTTATGACCGTTTATGTTTGGTTTTATGTTCATAATTATTGATTTTGGAAGATGAGTTAGCTTTAAAATTAATCAAAAATGATATTTTCTTTCTTTGGTATGTTTTTGTGTTTCTGATGCTGTCACCAGCCCGTTCTTTAGCTTAGGAAATGAAATTCATAGCTTTTGATTATATATATGAAGAAACGTTTATTTAAAGTGCATAGTGAATCTAATCTTGGAGCTGAGTTATTAATTGTGTTCTGTATGCGATTTTTTGTTTGCCTTTATATGGTTTGCTTTGGACAAAGATTTAAATTGGTACCAAGCTTTAGTATGTGAATTTTGAAACTTCTCCCTATTTCATCTTTTAGAGAAACCATGGATTCCTTTTAGCCACTAATCTAATCTCTGGCTTCTACCTATAATATGTTGTTTCTCTCTATTATCTTTTTCGTCGCTGTCTTGTCACTTGTGTTTCGTTGATTAATTTATGATTCGAAAAAAAATTGCTTAGGTTATATGCTTCTTCTATTGGTTTTATAATCAAATCTCTTTTGCTTTCTTGGATTTCTTTTAAGCAGATTGTGATTGCCTTTTGATATTTCTGCCCTGCACAAGTGAAGATGATCAAAATTGATGCATTCGGGCTTTTTTAATTTATGGAGATTTGCCTAGTTTGTTCTCTTTTCAGTTAACGAGTGATTTTGCTCAATCAAGCTGACTGCTACTGTTAGAGGAAGGTGTTACTTGTATTATCGACGAATTCTATTGTCACATCGGAAATTTGTCAAGAACACGGTTTCTTTGGAGGGTATCAATAAGCAGGTTATGCTTAGATGCAAACGTCTCAGAAACACCAAACTCCTGCCACTATCCACAGGTTGTATGACCAACCTGTTAAGGAAATCGATCAATTTTGTTTGCCTCATATCCAGATATTAGAGAACAATGTATGTTCAGATATTGGCAGCCAGGGAACTGGCGTCTCTTTTCAAGCTTACAATGACCATATTTTTACTCTGGAATCATCCACCGCAATTGCCAGTTTTGCTGCCTATGATTCCCCTTCTGTTATAAGTGTCTCATCGAGCAGGAGCCCGTTCTCCCCTCAAGGGTCTCAATCATGGATATCCGATCCTCATCATTCCCCTGACAATAATCACGGATCACCATTCAGTGGATCTTCTGCTGTTGATGATGATAGCATTGGGTTGAAGCACAAACTGCGGGAGCTGGAAATTTCCTTGTTGGGGCCTGAATCGGATGTTATAGACAGCAGCAATTGCTGCTTCAGTAGTGGAGCCCACCAAGCTGGTTCAGTGGCAGGCATGAACCACAATCAACTGATGGACATGATTCCTAGATTAAACTTGAAGGAGGTGCTTGTTGCCTGTGGTCGAGCCCTTTATGACAATGATATGTCAACAGTGGCGGGTTTAATGCATGTATTGGAGAAAATGGTATCGGTATCCGGGCAACCAATTCAACGATTGGGTGCTTATGTGCTGGAAGGGCTTAGGGCAAGGTTGGAGTCCTCAGGGAGTAATATCTACAAAGCCCTGAAATGCGAACAACCGACTAGCTCGGAACTAATGTCTTACATGGGTATTCTCTTCAGGATTTGCCCATACTGGAAGTTTGCATACACATCAGCTAATGCTGTCATCAAGGAAGTCGTGCAATATGAGCCCAGAATTCACATCATTGACTTCCAAATAGCACAAGGCACCCAGTGGATGTTCCTTATAGCAGCTTTAGCGAAACGCCCTGGTGGACCCCCGTCTATCCGCATAACTGGGATCGATGATTCTCAGTCAAATCATGCTCGAGGTGGGGGACTTAATATCGTGGGGCAAAAGCTATCAGAATTTGCCAAGTCATACAATGTGCCATTCGAGTTTCATGATACTAATATGACTAGTTGTGAGATTCAGCTACAGCACCTTAATGTCCATCCTGGGGAAGCCGTAGTCGTGAATTTTCCGTATGTATTGCATCACATGCCCGATGAGAGTGTAACTATCTGGAATCACAGAGACCGACTGTTGAGATTGGTGAAGAGTTTGTCACCCAAGGTTGTTACCCTCGTTGAGCAAGAGTCTAACACCAACACATCCCCGTTCTTTTCAAGGTACGTCGAGACACTAGAGTATTACACAGCTATGTTCGAATCCATAGATGTAGCTTGTCCAAGAGATGACAAACAAAGGATCAATGCAGAGCAGCATTGTGTGGCTCGTGATATCGTGAATATGATTGCTTGCGAAGGGCCTGAAAGGGTGGAAAGACACGAACTTCTCGGGAAGTGGAGGTCAAGATTCGTAATGGCCGGTTTTTCTCCGTATCCATTGAGTACCTCGGTCACAACAGCTGTAAGAGATATGCTGAAGGAGTATGACAATAACTATAGACTTGTAGAGAGAGATGGTGCTCTCTATCTTGGGTGGGGAAACAGAGCTATGGCAACCTCTTCTGCATGGAGCTGAAAAATCTCAATACCAACAGTGATTCCTCCATGGATTCTGTGAATTCTCCCCACATTTTTCTTTTCTTCTCTTAATTTTATATCATCGACCCTTTAGCGTGTGTTGTAAATTTATAGAAATATGAGCTTTAGCTTTGTGTTGTTTTTTAGTGTTAGAAAAAGAGACTGAAATTTCAATCTCAATGTACGTCTCTTTCGAAAGCTTTGAGCAGATTTAGTCGCTTCTGGACTGACAAAATTGAGACGAGGAGACTTAAGTTTAGGGTCAGTATGTTACGGATTTCATAAAGTAGTACCTACAAATTAATCGATATTGTTAATGAGATTAAATTGTTGTTATATTACATTTGATATTTTATGTTATATCATGTAAATTTAAATATAACGTGAAGTATATGATTCTGGTTATAAATATGTACATATGTTTATAATTTAATTTATATATTTTAAATATTTTCGAGTCAGATGTGAATTAAAAAATGAACCTCTAAATTGACAACTATGGTACTGCAAGCCTGTAAGGAACTGATTGGTACGAATACCTTGAGGATTTAATTGCAATGTGTTGAAGTTCACGAACCAATAAGAATTTAATCCATTATTTGGGAATATTAAACGAATTAACCTTTTTAAATTTAGAAAAATTTGATAAAAAAAAGTATAAAAAGTATGAAAGTAAATAGTATATTATATAATTACAAAATTATTTTTTTTTAAATATTTATTTTCCTAAAACATCAAATATCGAAATGAACAACATTTGAATAAATTTAACAGTTCCTGACTTCAATTTGTACGAAGAACAGGATCAATTTTCCTAAAGAATAATAATAAAGAGAAAAATAAATGCACCGGTTCGATCTGGTTAGTTGTTCTATCCGTTTTTCATTCTTACATTTGCCTTATTGTCTTTGATCTTTGGTTTCACTTCGTTTGTTTTCCAGATTCTTTCTTCCTACGTTCAACTCCACGTTTCAGGTTAGGGTTTTCCTTTTCCCATTTCCATTACTCCCGTTTAAAAAAATTTAATGATCTGAATTTTAGGATGTTTCATTCATAAGATTAGAAATGTTTGCAGCTTAATCATTAGATTTAGTACTCAAACAATTTTGAAATAATTTCTATATTCTCATAAATTATTCTCATTAGAATTGCAAAGATATATTTTTTTCTTAGTATTTGTTTTTTCAGGAAAAATCTACTCGAATTTTGAATTAGGATTGTGATTGTGTTGAATTCTGCTGGGAAATGATTATGGAAGAATTAGCAAGCAGATCAGAGTTGCGAAAGGAATTACAGAGAGAACGTCGTCGTATTAGGGACAGGGAAAGAAGGCAATCTATGAGCCTTGAGGAAAAAGAAAAGCATCTCGCTAGACGCCGAAGAAATTATCAATTGAGGAGACAAAGAGCTGAAACCGCTCGATTAAACCCGCCCCTGTTACCAATTCAACTGCCTTTAAGTAATGCTTTAACGTGTGTTTCTTATGCTAGTGCTCCTCAGTTTAATGCTGCTGATGCTTTTGTTAGATTCAATGATGAACAACATGGACCAATGCTTGATATCAAAAGTTCCCACTGTCGGTTCCCTTTACTTAACCATTAATGTTAACTTAGAAGCAAAACAATGTCTTATCATGTTCGTATTTAGTTTCTTGTTATGCTTTATTCAATAGGTTTGGACATCCCTGCGCATAAGTTAGGTATTATACCTGGAAAGGTACGTTTGAATCGCATCAAGCATCTGGCTCGAGCATTAAATGATCCTGTTGGTGATAGGGTTGCAGTTGGTGGGATGATGAAGAAAAATGGAACTTCCAATTGTAATTTTAACAATTCATGTCACTTTATATTGGATATGAATTAGTGTATCCTTGATACCATTTATTAATGAACTGCTCAATTTTGGATTATGTGTTTGAATATAAAATTTCTCTTTTCAGGTTTAACAGCCAAAGGATCGAGATTGAATCGTATTAAACGTCTTGCTCGGACAATAAGTCCTGCTATCCAAGAGACCCTTAGTCAAAGCCTTCAAAGCATAACAGATGGTAAGAATATACATCTACGTATATGTAGCATGACATACAAAATTCATTGTTGTTTGCTTTCGAAAAATTCAGACTGATGATGCAATTTCCAGATTAGCTGAAAAGGGTCATCTCTAAAGAGAAAATCATTTGATGAGATAAACTACGTTGTGTCAAATTATTGTTCTGGTAGCATTCAGATAAACTAATAGTTGTCTTTACGATATAATTTAGTTGGTTCATCAGGATTACTTTTCTTTGAGATGGATTATGATAGTTTTTTGCTATTATTATGTTTAGGGTGAGCATTTCCGTTGTACTACTGAAGAAACACAAATTAGTTATATACAAATTTATTGACTCCTCCCCCAGATTCTTTCGATTTAAGATTTGTAAGTTTATTACATCTTTCAGTCTTTCTTGCATAGTTGAGATTCTTTTGCTATTGCATTGTATATTCAACTTGTGATTATCAAAACTTTATGTATGAAACTAAAGTTTTCAGCGGTCATAGTTCAAGGCCTCGTGTGCATCCTTATAATCCATAGAATAACCTTTTATAACAGATGATGACTATAAAGAATTGGGAAACTCATGCTTTAAACTAAACCCTTTTCTTGTTTTGATTTATGTATATTGCTATTTACGACTGCAGGGTGGAGAAAAAGGATAATTGCAATGGAAGACGAGCATCGCGGATATATACAACTTGCTATACAAAAGGTTAGGTAAGTTTTGTTATTCACTTGGATCAAATTTATCCTGCCAGATACGATTTCTCATTTTCAAGTTTTAAATTTTAGTTTATGATAAAAAGGTAATCTGTATAAATCTAAAATTTTATTGTCAAATTGACTGTAACTTTTTAACTATTTTAACCACTTTATACAAATTTAATTTTTAAATGCTAACAAATATTAAGACACATTAATTTTACACGAAAATATAGTCATTTAAAAATTAGTTGACCCTATTCCCATATGTAATGGGATGAGGAGGAGGTAGGATAGTAGGCTGCTCCTAACGCCAGGTTGAGAGTAGCTTCCGTAAAGACCTTCGGCAGTCAGAATTATTAATTGTCCACCGTGGGACTCGATCCCACGACCACAAGGCTAAGAGCCTTGCGCTCTACGAAAATATAGTCATTTGATGAATCTAAATGGATGATTGAGATTAAGACATGTAAAATGTTTAATCTTACATAAAAATATAGCCATTGGAGGAATTTAAATTGTGATTAAGATTTTATTATTTTATTTTGGCTTAATATAACATAAGTGCACAAACTATATTCTTTTTTCCATTAGGTGTCTAATGTCTCAAACGTTATACTTTTAGGTGTCTAAAATATTATTTTAAAAAAACACTTCAAAATATTATTTAAAAAAAAATATTTTTTTGAAATTATAAAAAAATCTAAAATCTTTATAAAATTTTATTTTAAAAAAACACTTCAAATTTTTTTGAAATTATAAAAAAATCTAAAATCTTTTAAAAACCTAATTTTAATCCATTTGCCACTGTCGATTGTCGTCGTCGTCGTCACCATCTCAGCCAGTCGAAATTCTAACTACGTGTGACCGATTGAAACCTCCTATTCCAACCTCTAATTGTAATGAAAATTGGCAATAGCGGTGTAGATTGACAATCACAAAATCTTGTAATTTATAGTCACTGGGTGTTCGGTCGATTGTGAAAGTAAGAGAGTTTTGGTCGTAGGTGATTGATCGATCACATATCATTTGGTGTTTAATTGGTTGGTGACGGTCGACGGTGACAAAGTGATTGAAATTAGGGTTTAAAAACATTTTTTGTAGTTTTATAAAATTTTGGATTTTTTTCTTAAAGAAATTTTAATTTTTAATTTTTTTAATTTAAATACTTTTTTTAATTTAAATAATTTTTTTTAATTTTATAAAAACGACATGTGTCATTTAATGGTGAAATTTAACGATTGTGATAGATGCCTAACAGTGTAACGTTGAAAATGTTAGACATTTAGATTGATAAAAAAAATTCTAGACACTTAATGAGAAAAAGAATATATTTTCGACACTTATTTTTATATTAATTCTTTTATTTTGTCATGAAAATTAGAAAGAAAATATAAAGTATATTTTTTGAGTGAATTAAAAAAATACTAATACATATTATTCTCAATTATCTATTTAAATTAATATAATAAAATAGAATCTTACATAAAAATAAGTGAATTCTACTCCAAATGATATTTCTATATCCAAATTAAGTTAAAGATAACATAAAATTAAAAATTTATAGTATTTAAAGTTGAACACATATTTATCAAGTAATATATTCAACATATCAAATAGTTTTCATATCCAAATTTGATACGTCAAGAATTAAACATTAAAAATTCAATATTTAGTTATTTAGTAGGAGAGACAAAGTGTTATTCATAAAATTTTCAAATGATACAAATTTTGATTTTGAATTTTAAAATTGTCTTACCTCATTTCTCTTAAACATAGAAAGGACTTCAAATTTGCAGGCGATGAAGATGTGTTTGTATTTATTGGTACAGTGGTAAGATATATCATATTTTTTTATAAAGATAAAACGGACATCGAGAATAACCGTAAAAGATGTTGGATTTGTAGTTGATCTCATATGGTTTTTAGGCTTATAGTTGGGCCTTGGTCTTTTATGGCCTAATTTGTTATGCAAAACCCTAGTAGCATCCAAATTCAGTGGCGGCGAATTGCGCTATAAATTAGCATTATACACCACCTTTACTACATCACAGATTCAGAAGCCGTAAATCGTGTGGAAGTCTCTGTTTATAAAGGTTATTTGATTTCCTCTTCTTCTTCCTCCTTTTCGTGTTTTTGTTGTTTAATTCAATCGATATGGCGGAGGATGTAAAAATCCTTATCTATGAAAACGGGGCAAACTGAATTTGTGTTTGTAGATCTCCAAGATAACGCCATAGAAAAACGCTCGTTGACGGTCTTCTCCTCCGGGGAGCTCATCCGTTGGCGTGTAGTCTCATATTCCATCGCCTTGTGGAGCGGCGTCGCTGCTATTACCTCTTGGGACTGGCCATGAGTCAAACACTCAATTCTCCTCTCCTCTCTCCTTTTTTTAAGAATTCGCAAAATTTTTCCACTTTTTTTTAACTTTGATTTGTTTTCAGGCATGTGAATGTTCTTTTTCAAAAATGTTTTTGTAGAAAGAGGCCGATGAGGAAAACAATTAAAAAAACACCATCTTTCGGGACTGAATGGCTTTCATAAAGCCTTGCTGTTAAATCTACAATTCGGAGGCCTTTTCAAGGGATAATGATTTGCATTATATTTTTTTCTAACTGAAAGAATGTTTTACTTTTTGTCCTGCATTTATCTGCTATGATTATGCAGCTTCAAGAAATGGCTTTTCTTTCTTCAAAATCTTCTTTAATGGAGGTTCAATTGGGTCTTAAGTTGTTTTTGTTCTTTTCAAATTACATGAATTCATACCCTAGAATTTATTTAAAAAAATATTCTGGGAAATGAAGGTTACTTGATTCATTTTATATTAAATTTTTGTTATTTGTAATGACTAGGCAATCTTGCACACTTTTGGCGAAGGTAACATTGAACTGAACATTATATAAAATAATTAGTTGCGAATATGGTCCTTACCAAAGAATTGAAAATATATGGACGAAATGTCTGTGATATTGAATGGTGGAGTTGATATTTCTACGAAAAGAACACAGGCTGGTGTTGGGCCTGCGCAAAGTAAATGTACCGCAGACCGCAGTCTTTGGGTTGTACAGTGTTGGCCCATATGTCGTGCGAGCAGCTCTTAATGCGGAACTAAGTAGTCGACAGTTTGTGTAAAGTTGGAATTACCTTGGCCTTTTGATGATTTGTAACACCTTTTATTGTATTATGCCTACAGTCTTCTTGTGTGGCTCTAATGTAATATTGACTAATTTTTGATAAATAAACTCACTATTGGATTCTTTGTAATTACTCAGTCATCTTCTATTCTATTCTTTTCCAGCAATCTGAACATGTTATTAAGCTCCAAATTCCCCCCCTTGATTGGAAGCAATGTCCAGAGTCCAAGGCAAAATGGGAGCATAAATGCAAAACATAACTCAGAACATGGCATGTTTTCCTTAATCAGTATAGAAAAATTAAATGTCATCAAGCTACATTAACCATATTTCTTTTTAATCTGATTATATTTTACATTCTAATTCTTACCAATCAAGCATAAAGCGAATATTTCATAATTGACAAGCTTATGTGTAAGAGCCACATTGAAGCTTCTGGGATTCCAACACACTTCTTGCAGTTTCAATCACTACTTGTCCACTCACATAATGATGCCGACATACCGGCATGTATACATCAGCTCCACCGATCAACTCTGTTTGTGTCTCATCTGTCTTTCTCAATGTAAAAAAAGCTCGTTTCCCACAGAGTTCACATCGAGCCGTTAACTTCATCACAGAATTAGCAAGGGGAATTATATCAAGCACGGATCCAAAGCTCCTTCTGCTTGCAAACAGTTGGATTCAAGCCCTATTAGGGCGCCATGTACATGCATTTCAAAATGGAGTCAGATAAAAGTAATACCTTAAAAAGTCACCATCCAGCCCTGCAACTATAACAGTTTTGCCATCACGATCAGCAGCTTCACAGCAGAAGTCATAAAGGCCTTCAAAGAATTGAGCTTCATCAATGCCGATGACATCCAGCTGTTACATATACTGAGTCGTGAGTATATTTAACAATAAATACACGGAAGACTCATGAAGCTCAAGAAATACACAGCCATATGAACAGGAGTATCAGATCTTGACGCTGGCATATGTCAAACCTGATCATAAGCGTCAGTTCCAATTTTTTGTCTGAATGAGGATAAATTTGTCAATGGCCAACATGGCAGTTTCATGCCATCATGTGTCACAATTGAATCCAATCCATATCTTGTATCCTTGATTGATTTTATTACAGCCACAGTTCTGCATAAACCAGAGATAGTTTACGCCAGTAAACAAGAAAACCAAGTGACGATTATCGTACCAGTCAAGCAATTGGATTTTGGTATAGTAGAATAGAAATTATTCCTGATTTCCATCAAATATCAAATCGAAAGCACAAACTACAAGCATCATGTCACCATCGTTACGTTGCCAAAGATTACATATCCTTCCTAACCACACTCCCATACCAAAATATGGATATTTAAGCAGCATGTAACTTCCAGCACATAGATTACAACAGCAGTTTTAACAGGCTTTACCAACTAAAAGGGTCACCGAGTTATGTACATTTCTCAACACATACAAAGGTTATGTCATGTATGAAGAATCAAAAGGAGTGAGAATGCAAAATTTGATAATCTAATGGTTAAGCTACAAAGCGAGGAAGTGGTTGTGGATCTTAACCATTATATTAACAAATTTTTATCCTCATTCTTTTCCATCCCTCATCCTTTGTACTAAGCAAGGCCTAAGAGTCTAAGATCGAGATATTAAGAACTTCAAAATACTTCATTCAACCAGCCCTGCTTCTCAGTACAAGAACGAAAAAAAGAGCAGTACATATTACATAGGATTTTCAGGCGTCATTTCTATAAGATCATAGCATGAATCTTCTAAAACACGGGCAGTTTGTAAAACCCTTAAGTTTGCACACAATATCAACAACTTGATCTTCGGATATTAATAATGAACAAATCCAACATCAATCATTTATACAAGGATTCTTTTCCCATTGAATATGCATCACTGCAAGTGAAGAGCATAAGCTAATAAGGTTCAGCATCTGCCTTCAAACTTGTATTCCATAATACTCCAACAGCTTCACTCGGTTCTCCATTAAAATAAAGAACCTTTAAACCCATATTTAGTTGTTTGTAGTTAATAAGGAGCTTGGGCCTGAACGTTGGGAATATTTATAATCCATTCGCTCATTCATCCAACACCAGAGACCAAAATTTTAAACCAAAAAAGAACTAAACTTCACGATCCCCAGATCAAATTTTTATCCAAATCACGAAAATTAACATTTAAACCCAGATTTTAACTCAATTCTACAACACAAAATAGAACAAATAAAAAGGGTTTAACTTTAAACCTGCCATTGTTGCTTTCAGCTTGAATTCGGCGGAGCAATGTTGTTGTCTTGCCAGCAAACATGGGTCCGACGATGACGTGGACCTCACCACAAGGTGAAGAAGATTGGGTTGTTTCCATATGTGATTGTTGACTTGGGGTTGAAGAAATTGGGGGTTTTGGTGAAAGCATCGAAGGGTTTATGTGGAGAAATTTAGGGTTTGAGAGGTTGAGTTTCTTCGAGGATAAGGAGAAAAAAGCAAAAGGTTTGGTTATGGGGAAACGAAGAGAGAGGGGAGAAAATGGAGGGGAAATTAGGGACTTCATGACAGGAATAGTGGGTAACATTGATTTTCTGAGAGATTAATAAAAATCGAGATGAAGATGGAGAGGCCGGATTCAAGGAGTTCGCATGTTGAAGAGTGTAATTTGGCAATGCTAAATTTTAGGGTTTAAGATAGGAGGGAGAGAGGCGGGAAGACAGATTAGGGTTTAACCAACACAACATAGTCTTGTGACGGCGGCAAGGCAGCTTTGTTAAGTCATTACCACAATTTTGCCCCAATTTCTGTTTCCGCTACACTATGAATATTATATTTAATTTTAATTATGACTTTAATAAATGTTAAATACATCCATTTTCATTTTTCTCATTTTCTTATTTTTTAAATATATATTTTTATTACAAAATTATAACGGTATAATTCATATATAAATATATTAAATTATCTTATTAATACACTTTTGTATATTAAATTAAGTTATTTTTTGTATAAAATAAAGTAATTCCAATAATTACAAATTGAGATAATTGCGTCACATTCCTCAAAGTATGACTCTCATTTTAATTGGTTCCTAAACATTTAAATATTTCAATTCCATCCCTAAATTATGACCATCAATCTAAAATAGTCCTCAAACTTTTGGATATTTTAATTTTATCCTTAAAATATGACATTCATTCTAAATCGGTACCCACACTTTTTGAACATTTCAATTTTATCTCGAACTATACGTATATACCAATCACATCCTTTGTTAGTAAAATCGTTAGGCCAAATTATATTATATGTTTGAAAAAAAATAAAATTACATTAACCATAGTTGAAACTAATTTCATATTTGGATGAATTTGGGGATAAAATTGCATATGATACAATTAACTCTTATAAATTTATTCTAGAATTATTTTACACTTTTACTCTTTTAATAATTATATATAAAATAATGAAATAATAATTTAACATATAAAATGATAATAAATTAAAAAAAAACAATACCGTTCCCCGTCCACCTCACAAGAAAAGGTTCCTCTACTCTATCATGTTTCTACCGGTCAAAAGGAAATTCATTCCATGCAGCATTGCTTAACATACATGGAAGGAGCTAGGATTCTAGTTTAAGAATAAATATAATTAACAATAAAACAAAAGAGAAATAAAATCAAAATAAATCAAAATCTAAATCTAATAAATATGTATCATTATATATTTTTGATAATAACAAAATTAGAGGGGGGAGAGGCCCCCTGGAACTACACATAGTTTCGACCCTGTTAGCATAATTCTCGTTATTCACCTCTTACATGTTTAATATGTAGTAAAACTTTATCTTTCATATTACCTACATGGCTATAATCATTGGCGGATCTATTTTTTTTTTATAAAGTTGGGTATATATATCTTACTAACATAAAATTTTTATACAGAGTAAATATAATTAAAATTTTAAAGTAGTCCGAATCAACAAAATTAATAATTAGTAGAACAAAATTAAAATTTCAAAGTAATTACATGCCCACTCCACCCTTGTCATAGATATGCTAATATCTATCATATAAATCATCGATGTTTTTGGATCTTATTATTAAGTGTTGGTATTACACATAAAAACGGTGCGAGTTTGAGTAAATAAATAGAGTTTTGGGAAATCAAGTCGTAATTAATTCTAGGAGGAAGTATATCAGAAAATGCTCAAACGGTTGTTTTTGTTATTAAACATTTAAAAGGTATGTAATCATCATTAACTTTTATCAAAACGATTATCAAATTTATTAACTTTTTATAATTATTATAACGTTGCAATGACCAATTTGTAGTAGTTTGATAAATTAATTAATCATTTTGTAATTTTGAGGGAAAAAATCAATAACCAAGACGATAATTTAAATATACCTCTAACTTGTTTTATCCTTAATTACATAATATTAACATTACCCAACATCTCTTGTTTTTCTTTGGACAAAGTTGTTTCACACACTCCATTTATATGTCTAGGAAGTTTTGACAATGATGGAGGACCTTAAGAAAATACAGTCACGCGCAAAAACAACTAATCTCAATATCAAAACTAGATAGCTACCATAATAATATAATCAAGCAAAATCTTATTGAGAAATTTTCCCCACATATGTGTTAGGTTATGATCTGAATATTCTTCTCATGGTAAAACTTGGAATTGATTTCGTACTATTCCTGCCCTTTTCTATCGAAAATATCTCTTCATTTGAAACTCAATTTAATTATGCAGTATTAGAATCAAAACTCTACGCTTTTCGAGGTTTATAGTATTAAATTCACAATACGCGTGAAGCTGAAGTTGAGGAACGTGTAGGGATTAGGTGCATGTTAAAGCATTTAACAACATGACAAATAAAAGAGAAATTGGCAATATATATATAATACACGTGGGAATTATAACAAAGCATCTATAACTAAATTATGAGTTGGTTTAACAGAAAGTGTTAACAGATGTCTTGACGGATACGACTATGCTTGGGCCATGGATGAGCCAATGGACTGGCATGCGCATGTGGTGCCACGATGAGGTGCAGGTGAGGATTTGTTAGGGTGGTTTTCACCTCTCCAACCTTATATTACCTAACCCACCACCAACAAATCTCTAATCATACCTTTCTGTCAAGGTTCAACTTAGCTTTGCCTTCAACTATTTAATCAAACCCTAGCCCATCTTGTTTGACAACAGGGTTCTGGGTTTATTTAATATTACTTGATTTTCTGTTCAACCATTAAAAGCAATTGCCAAGTTGGGGACTATTATGCTCATTTTCACCTTCATATTCATCAACCGACACACCAGAAATCTGACATTTCCTCTCCCTCTCATATATATTAACCCCTTTCTCTCTTCTTATAATTTCCATCATTACGGTTGAAGCAGCCTGGTCTCAAACACCATGAGAGGAACATCGACGTTATTATCTCTTTGTCTCTTCATGTCATTGCTTTTATCATCCTATGCTCAAACATGTTCCCGATATACCTTCTCCAGCAACCGTGTCTTCAAATCATGTTCCGACCTTCCTGTCTTAAACTCCTTCCTCCATTACAACCACGACTCATCTGGTAAGCTCGAGATCGCCTACAGGCACACAGGGATCGGGTCGTCAAGATGGGTCGCATGGGCCATAAACCCGACCTCCAGAGGCATGGTCGGGTCACAAGCACTCGTCGCTTATCGAAGATCCGATGGAACCATGAGGGTTTACACATCGCCCGTCACCCAATACCAGACACAGCTGCGAGAGGGTGAGCTCAGTTTTGAGGTTTCGGATTTGTCTGCAACGTACGAGAACAATGAGATTACCATATTTGCTACTCTGGGTCTTTCGAACAATGGCACCACTTTGAACCAAGTTTGGCAAGAAGGTGGTTTGTCTGGGAACAACCCCACAAATGCATGTTACTTCTGGTCCTAATGTTCAGTCCATGGCTACCTTGAATCTGCTTTCTGGTGAGACTGCAACGACTAATGGAGGAGGCTCTAAGCTTAGAAAGAGAAACGTAAGTGAATGGCTTCAATCTTTACTTTTCTCCATTAATATGGGTTAATTATCTAATCAATAGTCTCTAATAAATTGTTGAAAGGATTACAAGTGTAATTATCTCATTAGTCAAACCTAAATTCTTCTTCGGGAACAATTTATCTGACGTGTTAAAAAAAATGGTGTCACAGGTTTACAATTTCACCGAATGTTTTTAGTTTGTTTTATGTCCACATTTGAGCTGGTATTAGCGTATAAGTTAAACTGATTGAAAGAGTTGACTGATACGATTTTGATGCTTTCAAGGCTTAATCAGAGCACTCTGAAGCTTAGGATATAATTAGAATCTCTCTCATAATTTGAAGAGGTGTGCTGAAATTAACCCTTTCTTCAATAAAAGGTGTTTCCTAGTTATCACTAAGCTGCTCTGTTTCTGACTCTGTTTTCGAAACCATTTAATAAAACTTCAGATACATGGGATCCTAAACACCGTGAGTTGGGGCATCTTAATGCCAATCGGTGCTATAACAGCAAGGTACTTGAAGGTATTCAAATCAGCCGATCCAGCTTGGTTTTATCTCCACGCTGCTTGTCAGTTCTCGGCCTATGTTGTCGGTGTTGCCGGATGGGGTACCGGTCTCAAACTCGGCAGTGAATCGCCTGGTATTCAATTTGACACCCATCGAACCATCGGTATTGTCCTTTTCAGCCTCGGAACACTTCAGGTATTCGCGCTGCTTCTAAGGCCAAAACCAGACCACAAATACAGGCTGTACTGGAACATATACCACCATCTAGTGGGATATGCTGTGATAATACTCAGCGTGATCAACGTATTCGAGGGATTCGACATCTTGAAACCCGACGAGAAATGGAAGAATGCTTACATCGGTGTCATTGTGGCCTTGGCTTTCATTGCTGTCGTGTTGGAAGCTTACACGTGGTTCGTTGTTGTAAAGAGGAAAAGGTCGGAAAATGCAGGTAAATTGCAACACAATGGCTATGGTGCTAGGTCACAGCAGGCTTAGAAACCTTTTCCAATTTTTGCTCTTTTTCGATATAAATTTTAAAGTTCAGCCAGTTTACCCTGCTTATTAATGTTGGACCCTCTGGTATATTTATGTATGAGATTTTCAGAGGGAATGTAGAAATTGAGGTTATTCTATTAACATACACTTTTTTGTGATCTGTACTTTATAAAAAAAATATTTAGTTTTTCTGAGATAAAAGAAGGAACATTCAACTCAATTCCGAATATGAACAGTAAAACAGACATACAATAATGCATATACTGAAATACATTACTGATCATTCTGAGAAGTTGAAAAAACTTGTATACTCCATTACAACTTCAGTTCAGTTTTGAGGTTAGCATTTGAAAGACGACGCTCTACGACAAAATAATCAAGTACACCTAGAGTTACAGGCTAATGGCATAACTACAAAATATTCTTGCCACGATGCCCACGGTACGAAGAACAAACGAACAAGTAGAAAAGAGAAAGGTCCTCACTATCTGTTCTACTATCAGATATAATTGGAAATTACCAAGGTCCTGAAACAAGAACGAACCATTCTATCAAAAAAGAAAAGTCAACACATTACAGAAAAGCTGCAAAAAAATGACCGACCAAGTTTAGATGCATTCTATGATAATGAACTTATTCAAGCAGTTATACCAACCAGTCAACACTAGCAGATCTATATCAGAGATTTCAGGATTGTTTAAATAAATGATGACGTAGTAGTGAGTCACGTATCCCCATCACAGATATGCTTTCGCATCCGATAATCTCGCGAAGATTGGCATCACACAATACCACCATTGAATTTGATGGATCCTGAAACAAGAGCGGAAAGCTCTTAGGAGATTAATACGGATGCTAGAGAAATAGCCAAGTATTTAAGCTGCTAGAGTGAGACTGGAGTTCAATGGGACGAGTCGCAAAAACTTATGCACCAGCTCCTACCTCCAAATGATTAACCTTTATGTACTCCCAAACGCGTCTTTCTACCTCTGCTGCTAGCATCTCCCTTCCGCCAGCACCCAAAAACTTGGCAAGCGCCTCGGATATAATTACAGGTTTGGGCCCTGGTTCGACACCTTCAGTGGTGGACTTGACATTTACCTCCCCTTTTTTAGTTTGACTTGATTCCTCTGCAAGGATTAGCAAAAATTAATAAATTCAACTCATCATAGACCAAAAATATATTTGCACCTATCAACACATACTTGATGGGTCAAAAGGGGTAATATGTTTTGCAGTAGTTTGTTCATCTTGAACATGTCAGTGCAGTCTGTCTCGAACACCGCACGTAAGGCTTCGTCACAAATTATCTTTCTCTTGTTACTCGGGTCTTGCAGGCTGTTCTTCCTTATATATGCCCACAGCTGCTTGACAATCTAAATCAAAAGGAAAATATACATGTTAGAATAGCAACACTCTAGCACTGCTGACTGAAAGTAATCTATGTTAATCCGGGGAAACCGACCTCAGTCCTTGGCAAAGCTGGCTCACCAACTATGGCTTGAAGTGCTGGTGAAACACTACAAACTTTGTTCAGACCCCCTGATCCACCTCTTCTTTTGGGTGCAACCGGAGCACTGCAATAGCATTTGAAAACACACAAATACTTAAGTAATCAGTAAAGCAATTAATCTCCATTTCGTGATAGAAGGGGACCACATTCATATCCACATCATGGGGCATAGAATGTTACTCAGCTGACACTAAAACCCCTAAGCTCAGGGTAAGGAACCCCAACTTAAGTTGCGTAAAACGTACGAAAAGGCCTAATCTTGTGCCAAAAATTCATATGTGCAAAACCCTAAAACGAACCTAATTTTTACGCAACCCTTTTTTCAAAAAAAAAAAAAAAATCCAGTAGAATGCTGCAAAATAGGAAAAATCACTAAAAAAAAGGCGCAAACCTTTCTTTGGGCACTTCAGTGGTAGCAATGGGAGCGGCACTTTGAGTGGATACATCGGCTTTCGTGACAACTGGCTGGGGCGGCAGCTGTTGATGTAGCTGGTGGTGCTGCTGAAAATGGGGCTGAAGCTGCGGCGGTGGTTGAGCGGTGAGAGGAGAACGAGGGTGGCGGAAGTTGAGTTCATGGGAAGGGAATTGAGAGTGATGTTGGAAAGCAAAACGGGGAGGAAATTGTTGGTGATATTGATAGGAAGGGAATTGAGGGATGTTAAAATGGTGTTTAGGAGGCTGAGCCTGGGTTTGTGGGGTACGGAGCAGGAGGTTGATTTGGTCCCTAATGAAGCCAGCTTTATGGGAGGTCGGCGCCTAGCTTGGCTTCCAGCTGCTGAACGACGCCGTCTAAGGTGGTGGCGACGCTGGGGGCCGACTGCCGGAGTAGGTTCTCCACCCCTCTTGCTATCTCTTGGTCCGACACCATGCTTGCTTCCTTTATAATACTGAACCAAAAAAAAAAAACGTTTGCTTCTCTCTTCTCTTTGTCTCTATTCCTCTCTCTATTCAACTGTTACGTCTTTCCCTGTCTTTATGTTTAATAAAATGACGGAATTGTCCCTCTCTCTACACTTTTGTTGAAATTTATGACACTCTTGCCCTTGACAATGCCCACTTGAGAGTTTAAATGGCGGTGGATTTTGCTAGTGACTGAATTTGGTTTATGATTCCATTGTTTGGTGTTGAGATGGAAGAATTTGGTATGATAAATGGACATAACGTCAAATGAGTATATGGGCGTGATTAGCGGGAGCATATAAATTCTTGTTGCTGCGAATGTCAAGCCAATAGTTTCAACAAGTTAATGATGCAGCTGGAGCTGGAGCTGGATGGAGTAAACAAAATTAAAGGATGATGCATGCACGAGACAAAGCACAATGGCTTTGTTAGAACTGGACATGGGACGCAAGTAATGCGGAGATGGTAGAGGCAAGGCATCCAATTCACGATGAAGGTTGGAATCAATCGACGAACCGCATTTGTTATACCATCTGCTAATTTTAAACCAATTCCTATTTAATATTTTAACTTATTTTCTTGTCAAAAAAAAAAACTTATTTGTTTAATATTTGTTATCATTTAATGAATGGATATAAACAGATACAATATTAAACAAATAAAGATGAAGATGGTTTAATAAACTTCAAAAATACACAAACAACATTCGATCCAATTGAGGGCCCGAGAAAAGTAACAGAAATTGGGCTTTGATAAATTTGGAGTGGCCTTAAAGTCCTAACTCTATCACAGAGTCAGCGGCAGATGCCAAAAAAAAAAAAAACAATGGCGCAAGTTCTAAACCTAAACCCTCTCCTCTCATCCTCACCGCTCTCCACCCGACCCGAATCACCTGCCTTCCTATCGCTCAACAACCCCACCCTCAGTCCCCGAAACTGGACCTCTTTGCTGCTCAATCTCAAATGCAACGGCAGATTTTCTTGCCTTTTCTCCGACAACCGGGAAGGTAGCCAATTCAACTCATTTCTTCTTTATTTTTCTATCTTTATTATGGATTACTTCATGTTAGCTGATACTGAATTTGTACGTTTATCCTATTTGTTTTAAGTACGGTTCTATGCTTCTTTTCATGTTTAATTGCACTGTTTCCTGATTTATAGTTATCTTTTCAGGAACAAGCCAGAAAAGCATTAGAAAGTGCACTTGGTGGAAAGAAGGCTGAATATGAAAAGTGGGACAAAGAAATTAAAAGAAGAGAGCAAGCTGGTGGTGGGGATAATGCCGGCGGTGGGGGTTGGTTTGGATGGGGTGGAAGATTTGGTTGGTCCAATGGTGACAATTTCTGGCAAGAAGCTCAACAAGCTACCCTCGCCATTCTAGGCATTATTCTCATGGTATGATGTTAACCTATATGTTTGTAGACCCTATCTAGAATCTGTGCTATTCGATTATTATTTTTTGTGTGTGCTGGTACATGATGTTGTTCTTTGTTGCAATTGCTAGTATCTCATAATTGTAAAGGGAGAAGTAATGCTGGCTGTCATCTTCAATCCATTGCTTTATGCTTTGCGAGGAACCAGAGACGTTTTGCCTATGTAACATCGAGAATCCTAGGAAAGATACGCAGATGGTCCTGTTGGTTCTGGCAATATGTTAAAAAGGAAGCAGACTTTCATGTTTTGCTAAAGAAAGTGTTTTGAGAAAATGGGGGAACAATTGAAATTTTCTTGCAGGTTCGGACATCACTTTTTTTTTTCTTTTCATCTTGACACTTGTGTGGCAATAATTGATTATTGCATTTTGAATTGTAGTATCTATAAATACATTTTTGAAACTTAATGAATGAGATGGAAGTTGAAATTTACATTTTTCTTCTCTTTGCTGAATTCACTGTATTTCTGAAATTTGAATTCTTTGGTCACCGCATTTTGCTTCTCATCAGCAAAATGCTGTTTGTTTATCATAATGGATATGGATTCAAAATTCTTCATTGGCGGCACTAGTTAAATTTTCCAAAGAAGATTACTTTCGGTGTTTTTCACTCAAACGAACATAACTGCCGACTCATTTTAATTGTGTAAACATTCTAGTTATTACACCATTATTGGAGCTGTGATTACATTGTTGGACTTCGGGCTAATACCGCATGATTGAGGCTATTACTGGTAGGCAGTGCCGCTATTTTTGTCTCCACTTGCTAGAATTTCAGCTAAAGAAAGCATAGAGTTCGACTGTTAGCTGGTTGGCTCGAAGCAGGTCAGTAGTTGTGTTCTTCATAACGTCTCTATTATGGTGACAGAGCCAGGTCTCCTTTGGTATCGAAGAATCCAATGAAAGTTTAAACGGGTTTTTGTTGAAGCATTCAGTTTTGAAGAATATATTACTGCACTATTGAATTTATTTGTTGAAATTTGACTATCACCATCAACGGAGGCATTGAATGAAATGAATCGAGTGTATTTAACAGGAGAAAGAAAGTACTGCACCAGAAAGAGAAAAACTTGCGGAAAGCATTTGTTCTACTTGTTTGTTTTGCTTGTGCTGTGAGGAAAATCAAATAAACCTTTGATTTTTTTTAAAAAAATCTGTTTGGTTTTCGAATTTGACTAAAAAAATTAATCGAGTTTATCTGTTATGTCATTAATCATTGTGTATTGTCATTTTAGCACCATATATCGACATGTTAAAACCATGAACGGTCACGTCGGAATCGAGGATCACATTTTTTTTGGAAAAAATTTGAGTCTCGCTAACCATTAAACCTATAAACCTATTAATAATGCAGTTGGATCAGTTGATAGTAGTCACCGGTTTATCATGATATTATTTCAATTCAAGTGAGAAATTAGATCCAAAACTTAATCCTCCCACCTCCAACACACTTGCATATCCCAGGTTTATAAATGAAACCATAGCATCCAAACAGAAGACCCTATAAGAGTAGAATTTCAGAACAATTTAGACAACTGTCTGATCATGCTTACAAGCTACATTATGCAAACTGTGTGCTCAGCCAAATGGAAAAATATATGAAAGTAAAAGTTCAAGGTAAGCAAAACGAGAAGCTTCAGGAGCTAGTGCTCGAGCTTTTTAAGAACATCTTGCTCGTAATGAAGACAATGGGAGTACTCATGCAGAGAATAGTAGTAGGTGGAGGGAGATAGCCTGTGGGAACTGACATGGCTGCATGTGAAATAACATTACGCTATTTTCACAGTCAAAGGTTTTTCCCTTATCAGTTCCTCAGCTGAAGCATGGTGAAAGTGATAATGTAGTGTCCGGTGAATAGTAGAGAAAGATTGCGCCATTTTCTGAAGAACCACTCGTGCCTTACAATGATTATGAAAGGAGGGCAGTGGATCACATTACGCTATTTTCACAGTCAAAGATTTTTCCCTTATCAGTTCCTCAGCTCAAGCATGGTGAAAGTGATAATGTAATGTCCAGTGAATAGTAGAGAAAGATTGCGCCATTTTCCGAAGAACCACTCGTGCCTTACAATGATAATGAAAGGAGGACAGTGGATCACATCATCACATTACGCTATTTTCACAGTCAAAGGTTTTTCCCTTATCAGTTCCTCAGCTCAAGCATGGTGAAAGTGATAATGTAGTGTCCGGTGAATAGTAGAGAAAGATTGCGCCATTTTCTGAAGAACCACTCGTGCCTTGCAACGATGATGAAAGGAGGGCAGTGGATCACATTGGTGGGAGGGAAGAAGATGGTCGCAGAGTTGAAACTGAAGAAGATGATGTCGATCCATATGGGAGAGGATCAACTCGGGAGAAGTCAAATCGCCAGGTTGAAATAGAAGAGACTTCCCTTCTCCTGACTGTTGATGTTTCATATTTGAGTGGGTGTCAATTGGCTTTATATTTCTTTTACTATCTTTAAAATGATTATTTTGTCCAGTTCTTTAGGTGCGGGATTTTGATTTACAAGTTTTTTTCAGTCTCTTTGTGGAATTTGAATGTATATGCATGTCTGGTATGCGGGGTATTGTTTCGAAGTCCCATGCTTACACTCATATATAGTCTCGAATCAGGACATCATCTCTACATAATCTTCGAACAGAACAGAGAAGGTGTATTGTCTTCCTGATGGGTATGGAATTAATGACCCGTCATTAGATGATAATATACGCTACGTTCTAAACCCAAGGTTTGCTCATATTTCACTTGATCGCTTTACTTGCTCCTACCTTCATTTTACTTTGTCCCTGCGTATCTGCAACTGTTACTGCCTTGTATCATTCTCTGAATATGTAGCTTGTTTGAAGTTCATGCCATAAACTTTTATGGGTTATCCAGAGGATCATGTTTTCGTTAAAGCTTTTAGCTAACAAAGGATTTCTGACGTACATGACCCTTTAGTGGCATTGATTTCCTTTCTAATTTTTCAAGTTTCCATTGGTATAAGAGGTCTTCACTTTTGAGAACCAACAGTTTTTTCTTGGGCCCGTAATTGCAGGTTTTTCCAGAGAACAAGTTGAACAACTCGACAATAACAAGCAATGGTCTCAAGCGCTTGATGGTTCGGACTACCTCCCAGCTCCCATCATCTTTGTTTTCAAAATCAAGGGTACATAATTAAGATATGCGTTTGAATCTTCTTTTGTGTTAATGTGATGTCATTATTTGTGCAAATCTTCAGATGCGGCCGAATAATAATTAAAAAAAAAACTGATTTTGACAATGTCACCATTCAATCTTCAATGAGAGTTACTCTTGTTCAATATACTTAAAGACGTTTGAAGGTGAGACTATAGGAAGACTGTTGGTTCTCCGGCAAGTCATGAATATTTCACGTGTTACAAAGATTAATTTCTTCCGAGAAAAGAATTTGACATAGGGTAAGTTTTATCATTTATGTTGTTGGACGATCAATCTGTACAATGTAATCACTATTTCGTACAAAACCTTCCAGTTATGGTCACTTTATACTGATTCTTGCAGTGAACTTTCCTGTGAAAAACATAGAGTCGAAGGACTACATTCCTCTGCCAGCACCGAGCTCCAAGTATGATCTGATTGCTAATATCGCTCATGAGACGAGGGTTTCTACAGGGTCAGCGGAAGTCAGAACAAGTATGCCAGTTTTCTAAATGATGAGCATTTTATGTGAGTCAAATGATACAAATAATGAATGATGCATTCCAATTTATGCATTGCAGGTGTGCTACATGTTTCTGAAACGCTTCCTCAGATGTTTGCACTGTCTGAAACTTACCAACAGCAACAGTAGTTTAGAAAAATTCCATCTTACTCGGTCGTTTGGTGTTGGTTCTTCGAGGTTACTTGTTGCTAATATTTGATTTAGTTTAGGTGAAGACGGAAATATAGAAGAATAACTTTTAGAATTTGACCATCAATTTCATATTATAATTTATTTCCACTGCGCGACATGTATAGTAAATACAAGATTTTAAAAAAGTTTATATAATAATAATTTGAAAATTTATCCTTTCCTTTTTTGAAGATTGAGTTGGACCTCGAGAAGACGCGAGAAATAAGATGATAATGAGATGGTTGTGCAAACCAAGACATAGCAGCAGACATTTGAGGAACTTGCAGATGGAGCAGCCATACTCAATAAATTCTAATTCTATAACCACATGATTTTCATCACACGGCTGTTAAAACCCAGACCCTATATCACATTTTGAAGCCATTGCCGCTATAAAGAATTGGAAATAGCCAGAGGGATAGAGTCATGGAAGAGATAATGGAGGTGAAGAAGAAGCAGAAGCTAAATAGTTTGGCTTTGGGAATGGTGATTCTACTGATGTTATGGTCATCGATGGCTACACCAGCTCTGGGGTGTTCCTCTAATGGCAGCGGTGGTGGTAGTAATAAGAACGGGTGTAAAGACTGCCTCGTTGATCAAATGAAATACGGTTGTCCCCGGTGCGTGCCGCTTCTGCGCTGCATGGCGCGGTGCATGTGGGGAGGAGCCTCCAGGTCGAGATGTATCAACCGCTGTGATTGCAACGGTGGGAAGCCGAGTCTTTCGGATTGCAAGAAATGCATGTCGCGGTGCAAGTGCAGTTGTGTTGCTTGAATCCATCTTTTTAATCCAAAGTATGCTTCTATAATTAGTTGGGTTTTATATTGTAAACTATTTCCATTATCCATGAGTTTCTAAGTTGAGTGGAGTTTAATATTAAATGTTTAATTTTATGTTGGATCAAAAATACAGACGGTAGTGATTAGATTAAACTAGGTTCTTTTTATACAAAAGCTTAGAGTAGATGCATTTCTACAATAAGAGTAGAGAATTTGATCATTCCCGGAGGAACCTCTGCAAGCATCTAAACCCCAAGTGGTCGGCGCAATACCTCTCCATTTCCAGCCCACCTCTCTCTTTGCACATCTCCTCCTCCATCTCCTCACCACTTCATCCCAATCCCTCATCGAAAATATCGCTCGCGGCCCCCACCCTCTGTAATACTCCTCATCGCCCTCGATTTTCGCTTCCGATATCCCATCCACAATCTCCTGCAACCCCACGACTTTACGGCTCACTTTCCTCCTCGCTTCCCTCACCGTAGGATCGATCCCCGGCACGGAGTCTAGTTTCAATAGAAGACCCATCAGGGTTTCGTTTATCCTCAGCTTCTCCTTCTCATCGTTCCTGATGGAGTCCACTGTTTCCTGCCGTTGGATTAAGTGTTGCAGACGGTTGGCCTCGGAGTTCACCGACGAGATCTGCTTGTAAAGGTTGCGGATGGCTCGAGCTCGGTAAACCGACTGAATCTTGATGGCGGCCTGGGATTGGAGGAGGTGGACGGTGATTGGGACTGGGGTGTTATCGGCGGGAATTTGTTTGGGTTCTTGAGGTGAAGGAGGAGAATCAGAGTGGAGAGTATAACGAGGGTGGAGGTTGAAGATGAGGATAGCCAAAATGGGTGAACCGGCGAGAGGATTTCATGGTTTGTGATTGATAAAAGTGTCGGCAATGAGTTTATAAATGAGTGGCGTTTGAGTTACGGTTACGTTTTCTGGGTTTTGTTTGAATGATTTCAGCGAGTAATCTGGCAAATAGCACCGCCTGTTGGGGACCCCTTTGCTCTGCTTTATTCACGAATGGACCCTGCTCTGTTCTTATTTGAATTTGAATAAACAAGGCACTGGATGTATTCAACAACATTCAAGGGCTCAGCACCATATAAATCTAACAACAAAGTGACCGTTTTTAGTGGCCAGTTCTCTGCTTTTTATCCCCAGACACAACACCTACCTGCCTGGGAGGTCATATCTTTCAAAATTTAATTTTTTTATAAAATTTAGATATTTTTTTAATAACTATTTTCTTCCGATTAAAATTCTAATAAGTCTGCATAAAGAATGATAGAATAACAAGCAAATTTTCACTATACCAACTTTCCTATGTTATGATTATTATATAGAATATGTCCATTTGTTTCTAAGTTTCTTCATGTCATAAGGATCCTTTCATGTCCGAATATGTGTCGGAAATGGAGCAAGAAATCCTTTCGTGTCCAAATATGTGTCGGAAATGGAGCAGGAAGCACCAATTATTGACGATACTTACATTTACCAAATCAAAGTTTATATAATATTGTATATTTGATAAAATTTATGTCTAATTTTGATATCAATCCAGTTTTTTTTCTAAACATGTTATTAGCATAATGAAAACAACTAACAATATTTTCAATTTCAACCATCAGTGACACTATAATATATATAGATACCAAATCATGTCAAATTAAATTAGAGTGATTAAATATCAAGTTTTAACATGATAGAAGGATTAAAATCATAATTAAACCAAGTTAAAATAGTTTATTTGCGACCCATAGTTATTATTTTACAAAACCAAGAACAGTAGATATATTAATATGGTATGGAGTTAGAAAGATGTTGTTGATAATCATCGCGCTGTCAAGAGTTAAATATCCTAAGTCAGATAGCTCACCTTCTTTTCGACTTCCCACTTAGGTTCTACTAAATGAAACATCAGTCGCAGAGAGATCAAAGGATCGACCGTCGCCATTTCCCTCGACGGAGATGGATGAGCGTTACTAGACAAGTTTTGAAAACATGACTTATGGACCATGGAAGAACCACAAAGCGCAAGCTGAAGCTTCAAGCGTATGCTGAAAATCAGAAGAGTTGCCCAAAAAGTGCTTATAACAGCAGCAAAAACCAAAACGGATATTTTCCCATGGCATTTCCCCTTCATGTACCGAAGCATAGCTTAATTTCTGGTTTGTTATTCTGGATCGGTTACCCACTAAGGACAGACTGCAACGCTTTGGTCCTTATTACCAACGATCTCTGCATCTCTGTCGGAAGCAAAAGAAACTAGAAACCATCTCTTCGCCGAGTGCTCGAAGACATCTTCCATTTGGAGATCATTCAACTTTCTGGTTTGAGCAGGCAATTATCAACTTGGCCAAACCTGCTGGATTGGGCGACATCTACATGGAAAGGCAATTCATTGATCACTTGCGTTCTGAAGCTATCATGGTGCACCTTTAATTACACCATTTGGGAAAAGGAATCGCAGGATATTCAAAGGAACTTGCAGAACCGAAGAGAGAATTATTAATACTATTAAGGAGATAGTTAGATCTATTCTAAGTAGGAATATTAATAGATTAGATTATAAATTCAGCTCTTTGTAAACTGGATAATCTAATTTTGTTGTAAATTGATCCCCGTTCTTGTTATAATGATTGGACTGTATTGTTAGCAGTTGCTGCTATTTTTGGTAATAAAATCTGATTATCCAAAAAAAAAAAAAACTATGACAGTCTTTTAACCCTCTCGTTCTTCATCTGCCTCTTTCTCAAGCATTGGGGCTTGATTGTTTCGATGATGGATGGTTTTTTAATCGAAAATTTAGAACCGAGAACAATGCCTTGGATTCTTGCTTTGGTCTTGACTGACGACTAATAGCGTCAATGATTAGCAAGGTCGGGAGAAGTCGGATTGGTGTTTTTTGAGGGCTTATAAAGGACAGAAGGGCGGCTGTGTAGACGGACAAGTCTAGGCTTTGGTGTCAACAAGAACAAAGATTGCTTAGACATGCGTTGGAACTTGGAAATTATACAATGGGTTTGGTGTTGGACATGCTTTAAAAAAATATTCCGTAGGATTCTCTTTAGCAACGTTTCTTAGGACAGTTTCCTCGGATTGCACAAAACAGTTTGAATCAAACTTAGTTGATAATTGGTAAAAGAAGACGGTGATGAAACCAATGTGACCCATAGTTACGTTCAAGTTCAAGCTTCTTTCTCTGTTCTTTTCTTCATTGTCAATTGGAGGAGTTTGCTTGTTGCAAATAATAGCTTTAGTCATGTCATGTCAACTCGTTGAATGATTGTCATCTCAAGTTAAATTGCTTGGCTTCTTTAACTTGTTATGTCAAATCCGAAGCTCTGCTACTCCACTCAAGGATGAGTGTCGGGCGGTTTTAAAACCAAGGTATGAACTTTCTATTCTCCATTCAGAATTTTGCTTATCTTGAGATCTGATAAATTCTGTAAACTCCAACCAATTAATCATTCAGAGTTTATGTTATGGTGTTTACTCACTTCTCTCTCGTTCTTTTTCGTTTCGAGTCAAGTGAATAAGAATTATGGTGATAAACTTGGTGCTTAAATATCCTAGTACAAGTCATCTCTGAGCGTTGAACAGCAATATGGTACATGTTCTACTTTACAAAGTAAATTTCGATGCAATTCCTGACCAACTTCAACAAGCTTTGGATCTATCCAGATGAACCAAAACTTTAACATTTTCATTGCTTTCTCGACTGCCACCGATTACGGGAAAGAAAAACTATATTCTGGAGTTCGTTCCTCAATTCGTCATTGTGTTTTCGGTGCCCATCCACGTTGCTGAGCACGACAGAACATCAAAATTGTGTTTGCGAAATAGGAATTCAAACCCATTAAGAGATGCCATAAGGCATTGCCCTGAGGGTTGATTGGCCAAATGGATATTGTTTGCAGAATACACGGTCGAAGAATCAGCATGAAGTACCTAGGAAGACAGCCTAGCAGAGGCGTCATGAGTGTGAATATACTACTTACACATTCTTGGGATACAAACAAGGCAGAATAGTAATGCACCTTGAAGCCGATGCCAAAACAAAGGACGAAATGAACACAGCGAAAACGGCACCATAGAGAAAAGGAATGTGAGGAGTATAGGATGTACATATACAGAAGCATCTCCCTACCATAGGAGTTTCATCACCCTGTTGTTGCCTGCAAATAATTCGAAATACTAATCCATATGCAAAGCAAGGAAACATGCTTCCAACGGCAAGTATCATATTTGATACGTGTACAACACCGAGTCTTTTCTCTAACCTCTGTCTCACAGCATTTTTGAGGCCAATGAATGCTAAAAGAATGGTCAAGATATTCGACACGGTATTGTAAAATTCCGCGATATATGGAGATAGGCACAATTCTCTCGCAGCACTCGCTTGCAGATGTAACAGAACCCCAGAAGCTTGATGTTCCATCTGCCATTCTCAGCTATGAAGGCATAAGAATGAAAATAACTCGATCGATCGAACCTCCAGCCTCAGAAAGTTGCAGAGCTCATAAAAACCTTCAAAACCATGTCCTGCAAAAGGGAAGTTCCAATGTCAAGCATTCATAAGTGCAGGTTGATAACCACGAAACACTTTAAAGAGAAACAATAAGCTTCGTTCATGTTTAAGCAAGAGAAGGAACAACATGAAGATCACTTCACAATTTCACCACTAACCATCTGACAAATCTATGAAGCAATCTATACCAGCTGAATTATCAGGCAAACAAGTCTCAAATTTTACCAATACTCTGAATAGGAGCATTGTTAAGCTAACTATAAAGCATTAGAAGCACTAACATCCCAACAAAACATTATAAATACATTTAGAAACTAATCCCTCCCTATTATTAAGCTAACTATAAAGCATTGTTAAGCTAAGTTTAAATATTTAGTTGCGAACAAAACATGAATTGAGGTTTAAGCATTGTTATTTTATTCTTGACACCTATTATTTTAATCAGTAAATATGATGACATTTTGATCAAACATTATAACAAGTGCTAACTATTCTATGAATTTAAAACTAAATTAGTATTATATATGTCATCTTACATCTCT